AAAATCAATTGTGGTGTTAGTTGCATAATGTTGTAAATATATGAAATTCACTGAATTGTATACTTCTAAGGGGTATGGTATGTGAAATACATGCTTTAAGAAAATAAAGCAAAATAGGATGACTTTTAATATAAATGAGGACTGGGGTATGTGAATAGGTGGGTTTGGCAAGTTAGGTTTGAGTGGGTTGGAAATGTTTCACAGAGCTGATGTGGGGATTGGGAAATATCTAAAGAACATAGAGTGACTGCTGAGAACACTGAGGGCCCAGCTGTGGTTGAATAAATTTATATAGCACCCTATGTTTTGTGATTTTTTTTCTCTGACACCATCTTGAGCTAACAGAATTTATCTACATATAGGATATGAGGGAATAACAAGGGAAAGGAATTGCAATGTTGGCAAAAGAATATTTCAAATGTAGTCTTGGAATCTAAGACAGTACAGGGAAAATTAAGGGTCAAAGACTAGAGGTTTGGTTTAAGATAAAATTGTAGTAGAAGTAATTGAGAGAGCTGAAATGGTAGGAGATACTGGTCAGAGACTTTTGAAGTGGAGGTTGATATAGCCAAGTAACATGATTTTTAAAAGAACTGGGAGTTGTGCATAAGGCTACTAGCATGAAAAATGAGAGCAGAACCTTACCTCCCAGCTCTGATATGTATGGCTGGAGAGGGAATATGCTGTATCTCAGGACTTCAGGGAATAGGATAACATATGTAAAGTAAGGGCCAACCCCAGAGAACAGAAATTACAAATAATGCTTTCAGCACTATCCAACACATTTGGAATAATGTATTTTTTTTAAGATTTATTTTATTTGTCTAAAAACCTAAGGTGAGATATTTTATGAATGCTTTTGTTTTTTTTTAAATATATTTGTAATGAAGAAGAATTGTTTCTGAAAAACTTAAGGCAGTGCCAAATATCTTTGTTCTGAGAGTTTTAATAGAAGGCAAATATTTATTATTTGGCTACATTTAGAGCATGTTTACTATTAATTTGTAGGACATTTGATCCTCTGATTAAAAGAAATGAAGCTGGTTCTAGTGAGTAAAATAGTTTTGAGTGGATTTTCCCATTGTTTTTTACATGCAAAGATGGAGTTGCTGTTTTCTCATACACTCTTGATGGATATATTGATACTCTTTTTTTAAAAAGATTTATTTATTTATGTATACAAGAACTGGGGTGCAGGCCAGAGATGTGGGGAGTGAGAGGATTCACCAGGGACAGTGGGGAGCAGAACAGGCAGATCAACTGAAATACACTGCTGAGGGGAGCAGCGGGCGAGGCAGGAGAGGTCTGCTGCGCCATGTGGGTTGCTCCCTAGCCAGGTATCAAACGCATGCTGCAGTGGCTGACAGTAACTTGATAGCGCTGAGATTTTAATCCCTGCGCCATCAGGGAGGCCTTAACATAGTCTTAACTGTTGAGGTTATCCCTTTTGTTGGGAAAGGTTTCTAGAACAATCTTAGTTAAGGGACATTTCTGTAACTCCACTTAATGTTCCCCTTTTGGACCCTATATTGACTAAAGCAATGTTCTAATTGTGATTTGGCTCCCCGTATTACAACAAGGGGAAAATGTGTTGATTGGCCAATAATTATTTAGTGTGCTTGTTATAATTCTCATTACAGCTTTTATAATCATCATTAAAATATCTTACATAGGCACTTTGTTTTATATATCAATTTTATGTTCATGACTGGTTAAAAGAAATTTTTAGGTTTCCAAAACTAAAGTCCAGACCCTGTGTAGGGTAAGGAAAAATGTCAGGCTTTTCTGCCCTCCCGCCATCAGGATAGATGATGGATCCTTGCCGTCCTAAATGCATGCCTGATGGCAGCACCTGGAATAGGATGTGGGCATAGGTAGATGGGATTCACCTGGGCTGAGACTGGGCTTTTTTTTTTTTTTTATATAGAGGCATGTTTTCTTTCTTTCTTTCTTTATTTGTTTGTTTTTCTTTATACATGACTGGGCGCGGGAGGGTGAGAGAATTCACCAGAGCCAGAGCGGGGAGCAGAGCAGGCAGAAGGACCGAAGGACACTGCTGAGGGGAGCAGCGGGCGGCAGGAGAGGTCTGCGCGCCATGTGGGACCCTCCCCCGGTGGCCGGGGAGCAGCCGGGGATCGAACCGGCGCCGCAGAGGCCGCGGGCAGCTTCGCAACCCAGCGCTCAACCGCTGCGCCACCGGGGAGGCCCGAGACTGGGCTTTTAAGGGCGGCGTCATGAGGACGCCAGTAGAAGCCAAAAAAGAAGCTGAGAGAGAAGCAAGAGAAGCAGAAGCTGAGAGAAGGCCATAGAGCCCAGATGGAATGAAGACTTGCTGGGGGCTGGGAGGCCTGCCAGCCTCCCGGCTCCCCAGCACGCTTACCTGCTCTGTACCGGGTAAATCCCAATAAAAAGTCCTGCAAAAAGCCACTAAGGACTCTGACTCCTCCTTTACCCAGTTTGCATGGGATCAGAAAACCTGCACTATGCCCGGTCCTGACTCTACATATGTAAACTGCAGTGGAGAACCAAACTTGTATATAGCTTTGCCTTTATACTTCTCTTCTTTCTGCTTCCAGAGCAGCATTCATTACATTGCTTAAGTGCGTTGCATGGAATTTCAGAGTTCGGCGTGACCTCTGTACTGACACGTAATCAGGCATGCATGCTATGCTGAAGGGCTTTTGGCACTCGGTGCCTTGGTAGCCACGATTCCGTTTGAATCTCCCCTCCACCCCCACAGGCCTATGAGCGCAGATCCCGCAGGATCCCAGCCATATCTTGGGAATCATTTTATTTTCCAACTAATTGGACTGGTTTTAGAGGCCTTGGGTTTCACTGAACTTTTTCCTCATTTCCTTCTTTTGTTGATCTTGGCCCCTTAGCCTTCCACCCACTTATTACTCATTTCTTAGGGACCTGACTACTCAGTAACACTAGAGAAAATAGATCTGAAGTCATATGGGTTCAGTAAAACAAACTTAAGAGGGGGAGAAAAGCAAGATGTGAGCGTTCTCTGAACTTCCTTTGTTTATATGATCTGTTTATATGTTGTTAAGGGGGTGGTGTCCAGCTGCCTCCCATATTTCACAATGACTAAAGATATCTGGAAACACTCGTAAGAGGGTCATGCTGGCATAGTGAGGGAAAAGACACTTCATTTGTCCCCCACCAGATACTGTCATCTCTTGAGATGTGGGCGGGATGCCAGAAGCTTCAGGTTCTGATTCTTGAGGTTCCTGAAAGGCCACTTACTTCTAGGGAGGCTTTTCGTTAAAAAACACCAGTTCACAAATCCTCTTAAGGCTTGGGTGTGCATGCCTGCCTCTTTAAATGTTTGCTTGTTGTATATAGTTAGGCTGTGTAGAATCTAATCATTGCATTTTCTTTGGGGGTAAGGTGGTGTCAGCAGCCCTTAAAATCCCAGATTCTAATCTGGTTTGTGTGTCATGTGTACTAAAATGTAAGTACACTTGTGTCAGTATTATTCTGGAAAATGTCTAGAATGGAGTTTTGGGGTATTTGTTAGAGCCCCTTGTAAGCCCTCTGATCTTGAAGGGATTGAAAAGAGTGGCAAACACACCTGCATGGAGAATAAACTACCTGCGGCTGCGTAGGAGGCGCCTCTCTGCTCTCCGTGCTCTACCTGCTTGATGGCCACTGGGTACACAGACATGCGTTTTTTTCACATGGAGCTATTTATGGAAGTTGGTGTGCTAAACAACAGATTTAGAAGCAAAAACAAGAAAATAAACATCAGTCTTATCATTTGGGAAGTAAATTACTGTCTAAATTATTGTCTTCAACATTTAGAAGATGTCCGTGTCATCTGCGTTTTCTGCATATTTCCACCTCAGTGGGGTGGAGCCTCTCTGGGTTGCTGTGCTTTCCTCTTAATTGCTGTTTCACGAGGTCTCCTTAGCAGCAGCACCTGAAATAACTGCTGAGGGAGCGCCTAACTGAATGCTCATAATTTGCTTTTCAGTTCTCCCAGTTGATTGAGGCACTTTTCTTTTCTTGAGTGGTTTGCAGTTCCACTTAAGTGGCTGGTGTTTGGGGTCACTGGCGAGTGTTGTGTTTGACGATCACTTTCATGATGAATGGAGGGCTGCTGCTTTTAGCTCTGGGGGGCGAAGAGAAACCCGTGGTGGGAAACCTTGCATGGGAAAAATATTTCTTTGCAATGATGTGCTAAATGAAATCACTCTTATTGTCACGTTTTCCTTTATCCTTTCCGTCTGATGGCCATGAGTTCTTGTGATTTATTTGTTTCTTCACTTAAGCTTAGTTGTTTTCCTGTCCCAGGTGCATGCTGTTTCCGCAGTTGGTCATCAGTGATGCGGCGCATTTCTGACCTGGAAATGTGGTTTCTTTATCTCTGCGCCTCATCGGTCTGCTCTCCAGCCTTGCTTCCTTTGCATTACTCCCTTTTGGGGGACTCAGTTTGTTACCAGTTAGGCTAAGGATGATTCACCTGGGACTCAGAATTGGCACTGCTACAATAACAGTGCCTTTCTTTATATAATAATAGTCAAAGCACCTACCACCAAAGCTTTTCCCTGCTTATGAAGCACTGTCATTTTAATCCTTCACAGTGACCCTTTGGTTCAGCAGTTTCGTCTGTGTCCGGGGCTGTGAAATTGTATTGCAAGGAGGTTGAATTAACTTGCTCAGGTTTGCAATGCATCAAGTTACTCTGCTTAACAATTTTTATAGAAAATGAAGGCTACTGTTAAAGATACTGAGTGAACAGAAAGGAATTTTCCAAATATGTCCTGGTTGTTAAAATTTATTTTTAGTCTACTTAGTTGCGAAGACCGGGGGAGTTAAAAGCCCATTAACCATAGGGTTTAAATTAATGTATCAAGTCAAGAAAATAAATAATTCGCTCAGTTTGTATTCTGCTGCTCATGCGATAAAGTGAAGGAAGGTTGTCGTTTAAATTAGTGGAACTTCAGCTGGAAGTAATTAAGTCATTATTTTTTATTCTCTCTTCCCTTCAGAGAGATGGAAACCTTGATGACTAGTTCAGCCCTGCCTCCCCTTTTTGCAGATGAGGATGGCTCCAAGGAGAGTAATGATCTGGCTACAACTGGGTAAGCAGCTGCTTTGGGACCCTGGGCCTCTGCCTAGGCTTCAGAACAAAGCTTTCGGCAATGTATGAGATGCCAGAGAGGCAGTTTTAAATCATGAGACTAGAAGATACGGTTTTGTTGGGCAAAGAAAGTGTAACCATTGATTGTGAGCTGCTCTGTAATCTGCAGTTAGCTGTCGTTTGCGCTGGTTCCTGTGAACTGGAACAGCAAACGTTGGTCACTCCTGGTGAAGTGAACCACATGATCACCATTAAGGAAATACCTGCCAAGGGGCATGCTCTGAAAATCAAATGCATTTTCTGTTTGAATTGCCACTGATATTAAAATAATTTTTCCCCATAAGTCTTTTTTTAAGGTCATATTTTTTAGAATATGGTTCTTTATTCAAGATGCCTAGGAGCTCTTGCTGATTTGTGTTACTTTTTTCTGCCCCCGTCTCTTTTCTTTGGCATTTTTGGACAGATGTGTAAAGAATATAGGAAAGGGCTAATAGCGATAGCCCCTCTTTCCTTGAAAATCTGCTTCATTTGAATTTTTATCTTTTCTAAATTTAGAAGTTATTTGCCAAGGAAGAATTGTATTCACTAATAGATTGAAGTGCTAGCTAATCCTTAAGATGAATTATTTTAATATTCTTTAGAGCACTTTAAAAATAGACTACACTTTGTAATTGTTTCCTTCCCTCACATTCATTTCTTGCCTCATTAGTATTTGCCTTCTGACCTTAGTATTCAGGTGTCTTACTTAATCTTCAAGAGTTTTCCACAGGCTGCCTACTTGCAAAATCCAATTCATTCACTACAAATTTTCCAACTGTCTACTATGTGCCAAGCACTCTTTTAGGCGCTAGATTTTTAAGGAGTGACTAAAACAGACAAAACTTGTAGTCCCTACAGAATTCAGATTCTGCCAGGGAAGTCAAACAATAAAAAAGATAGATAAATAACATACTCAACTGATAGGAACTGTCAGTTAAAAAAATGAAGTAGAGAAGAAAGATCAGGAAGGTTTGGGGGTACAATTTTAGAAAAGATGACCCAGAAAGACTTGATAGACAAAGTGGCTTAAATCCAGATCTGAAAGAAATAGGTAGCCAGCATACAATTATTTAGGAAGATTATTCTAGACAGAGGGGGAAGTAATGCAGAAATCCCAAGGCAGGGGTGTCTCTACCTTTTAGAAATAGACAGGAGGTCGACATAACTGGAGCAGAGTATACCAGGGGAGAGGAAAAAGAGGGCCCTATTGGTGCTTTTCAGATTGTAGTCTACATAGAAATTGCCCAAAGAGCTTACTAAAATGCAGATTCTTTGTTAGAAAGTCTGAGCTAGGGCCAGAGACTCTACATGTAAAAAACTTCCCGGTGATGGCAGTGCTATTGGTATGAGACCCATATTTTAGCAAGGACTAGCTCGTGTAGGATATCATGAGTCAGATAAGCACTTACAGATAACTATTACTGTAAGTGAGATCTGAAGGCACTGGAGGATTTGGAACAGAATAAGATCTGACTTACATTTTAACAGGTTCCCTATGACTGTTATATTGAGAATAGAGTGAAGGGAGCAGGAGCTGAAGCAAGGAGACCAGTTAGACTCCTGAAATAGTTCAGGTGAGAAATGATGACCTGGAGAACATCACTAATGGCTTTGACAAGAGTATGCTGATAGAGCAGAGGAGCAAAAACCTAATTGGAGTGGGTTTCAAAGTAACAGGAATGAGGGTATGCTGTGAAGTATAGAATTCTAGATACATTTTGATGGCAAATCAAACAGGATTTGCCTAAAGACCAGATAAGATGTGAGAGGGAGGGAGAAGGCAAAGACAACCTTGAAGTTGTCTTTGGCCTAGGAGACCTAAGGGATGGAATTGCCGTTAATTTAAATGGGGAAAATGAACAGGTAGGGGAAGAATGTTAGGATCTCAGCTTTGGAGATTTTTAATTTGAAGTGATTATTAGCTATCCAAGCAGAGGTGTCAAATAGGTAGCTTGGTACCGGGTTCTGAGCTTAAGGGAGGTCCAGACTAGAAAGAGAAACTTGAGAGCCATTGGTATATAACTTCTATTTAAAGCCACACAATGAGATCACTGAAGAAATAAGCACTGTTTACAGACCAAGGAGAAGAGATCTACTGCCTGAGCTCTGGCATAGTTCAGCGTTTCCAAGTCAGGCAGAAGAGGCGGAGTCCACAAAGACAGCTAGAGGATAGCAGGAAAACTAGAGAAGTGCAAGTCCTGGAAACCAGATAAAAGGGATTCCAGGGGAATGGAAGGAGCCAGTTATCTAAGGTACATCTGGAAGTTCAGGTGAGATCAGTTCTGGGAAATGATACTGCATTTACCATGGAAGTCAGTGGTAACTTGACAAGACTTGTCAGCATGTCTTTAGAAAGAAATTGTGGAGAAATTGAATTAAAATCAATAAATAGCAACAGTTCTTTAAAGGAAAAGAGAAAAATGAAGCGGGTCCAAGAGAGTGAGTTTGTTTTTTTTTTTTTTAATTTGTTTTCTTTTTAAGAGTAATAATGCCACATTTGTGTGCTGATTAGACTAAGACAGTAGGGAAGAAGAATTGGTGATGGGCAAAATTGAGGAATAGCTATCTGTTTTGAGTAAGCTAGAGGATGTGGGACCCAGAGCACAAATGGAAGCGTTGTTGGACAGTTCGTTCATAGGAACAAAAAAAAATCTTTGTGTTTTTCAGTCTTTATCCAACTTACTACCTTCAAGGCTTTTGACTCCTTCCTGCACTCTCTGCTGGTTTCTGTCCATTTTACTCGCAGAGTCATAAGACTGGTACTTCTTCCCTGGTTTAGTTCTTATATTTCATTGAAATGAGAATGGGTAAGAGTTAGTAACTTAAAATTGATGGCACAATTGAAATGAGAATGTTCCAGAGAAAAGACAGTTGCCAAAGACATCCAAAATGATTGAAATATTTGGAAAAACAGCTGCTGAGGTCAACCTGGCTCAGAGAACATGACTGGCATTGAATTTATACATTCTCTTATCCTTTTTCAAAGAATCTCAAAAATATAGAGACCTTCTCTGGAAATCATCCATTACGTTTTCTAAAAAGTGTCAGAGAAGTATAAACTCTTTCATTTCCAGCACAGTCTATATCTGCTTTAATTCATTTCTCAGTTCACTATAATCTGGTTATTATGCCCATAATTCCACTAAACTGTATATTCTTAAATTGCCAGCATCCTTCTGCTGAAAAATATCTTTGTTTTATTAAACATCTGCAACGTTTTATTTGGTTAATACCCCCTTCTTCAAAGTCTTTCCACCTTGGCCTCTAAATTAATGCCTTTCTAACTCTTGATCCTAAAATGTTACTGCTCCAACAGTTTTCTATCCTGACTTTTCTTCTCACCATCTTTCTGGAGACTATTTAGCACTTCTCACTGTTCCTATGGTCTGGTGCCTCTCAAATCTGTCTCTGTGGGACAGCTATATTTAGTTGTGCCATGAGTGTTTGAAACTTTCTTGTACACACACACACTCCAGTAGTTACCTTGTTTAAGGGCACATAGTCCCAAAATCTGGAACCTCAGAAGTACCTTTGACTCATTTTTTTCCTTCGCTGTTTATATTCAAATTTGTTATTGAGTTTCCTCCATTTTCCTCCATTTTACCTCTCTCTTAGCTTTTTCTTCCCTGTCCTCCATCCTGCCCACCCTTCTCTCTCACTTCACTTTATTGCAGTAGCCTCCTTGTAGGTTTCCCTATTATGCCTTGTTCTTTCTGCCTGTAATGATGTGGTCTACCTGACGCGTTCCTATTTATCTTTTAGGTCCTTATCTCTAAAATCTTTCATAATATCCTCACCATACATATAAAATCATCATACTCTTTACTGTGCCCTTATGGCACATTTTACAAATCTGTTTTAGTACTCTGTTTTATAAATCTCTGTTTTGGTACTTATATTGCATTGTAATTGTTTGCCTATAACACGAGGGAGTATACATTCTTCCAAAATAACCACCGATGGCTACTCTCTTACAGTTTCCTCCCTCCAAACTGCCTAGCACATGGTGTTGTCTTTTCCTCCATTCCTTTATCCACATATGATAGGATGAGTCAGTCTAAGACCCAACCACCATCCATAAGTTCTTGTGTTCACTTTTCAGAAGAGTAAGAACTGGTTTGCTGAGCTCATCTACAACAGAATAATGGAAACAAAAAAAGAAATATATCTTGTCTGATTTATTATCATTTATACCTGAACTTAATAATATTGACAGTAAGATGGTCTGGTTGTCTATAATCCAAAAAAAGAATAGCCTTCAAGAGCTCTTTTTTGATGGGGCAGCCTACCTCCACAACTTTAATTCCTGTGCTCCTTTTCCATTAATAGTATTTTCCCTTTACGTGGAGATCCAGGAAAGGAAGCATATGAAATTCTGTTACATACTCAAAACTAAGATATGAAGTCTATTGTGAGGGATGAGGTAATTTGGGGAGAAAAGATTATAGCTGTTTTTGGTAGGAGACTTCTTCATGTTACTGACTTCTTCAAGTACTGAAACCATTTTTTAAATACTCTGTAGCTATTGTGGAGACATTATTGTGTACATTTACACAGAATGAAGCAGGGGAATTAATTCAAGGACTGGTAGGTGTTTTTGCTGGCAGTGAAATTTGTCTTGAACCTAGGCTGAATAGGAGTTTTTGATGCTGTTGATACTGAACTTTTACACTTCTGCCTATTATTCTTCAGTTTAACACACCCAGAAGTTCCATATAGTGGTGGAGTCACATCATCCACTAACAACTCAGAATTCGTGGAGGATCTCTCTCAAGGGCAGTTGCTTCAGAATGAGCCTTCTAATATAGCAGAAGGCAATGAGCAAAGGCATGAAGATGAGGTGAGCCCCCAAGCATCTCCCATTTACTGGTCTGTGAAGCTTCTGAAAAAGCAGTTGCCAAGGGATTTGATCAAGGGCTCCTCATCTGGCCTTCTTATATTTTATTTCACATAGAGCCATATATTAATGGCTTTAACTACATAGACACAAACTCTTTTTATCCCCTTTCTAAGAAATGTATACCTATATCATATTAGAAGCTCAACAAATGCATATAGAAGGAGCGAGTGATTTAATTAAATAATTGATGAGAAGTCCACATTCCCTTGTTCTAGGCCCCACACTGCTCACACACCCTGAGTGTGGACTCACGGGTGCCCAAAAGAGTCCCAGCATTTGCCAAATCCTCACTCTCTCCTCACTCTCGCATTTTCTGTAATTCACACAGAGACTCCATATGCTTTGGCAGTCGTGCCCTTGGTGGACTCTCAGCATTCCTCCCCAATGACTGATTCCATTGTCTATTTAAGGCACTTTTTTCCTGCCATAAAACAAATCAATACTGCTATTGATTTTTTTGTCTTTTTTCTTATTGTAAAAAAGGTGATTTTTTTTTTTTTCATGTTGGCATTCTTAAAGTTTGTGATGAATGCTTAAAGCTTCTTAGACACCTTAAAAACTTTTGTAGTTTTAATGCTACTAGATTTGCAAAACAAAAACAAGGGAGAAAATGAATACAAAATACATTATTATCCCAATGGTGAATTATTGCACTGCTTTATGTATATCTGGAGGATTGCATGCTTTAATCACTGTTTAGATAATTTTGTTCATTTTGCTCATCTTTTTCTTTTCTGTAATAAGAATTTTTATATCCATAAAATGTTATTAACTGCTAGACTCTATGTAATTGTAAAATTATAAAGCAAAAAATTGATGCACTTACATCTCATCTAAAAGGGCTGTGGTCAAACATCAGTGGTAACATCAGTTCTTTTCCGAAACTTTTTAGAGATGATTTCATCTTTTGATTTAATTAATAACGCAAAGACCTCTAGTTTCTTGAAAAAATCTCAAGGAACAAATCATCAAGCTGAAGAACTCATCTTTATTTTGGGTATATTATACTCAAATGAAATTTTTCTAAGAGTTAGATATTAATTTTAAAATTGATATGCTATCTGCTGTGGGAAATGGAAGCTGATTCTGAATAGTATCAGTCAGAAATACCCTTCATGAATGATTTTGTATCCCTATACTACAACTTTTCTCTTCATTTCCCCTGTTCATGTGACAGCATCTTATTCAGATCTACTGTGACAATGTCTCCATTTCCCACCTAGCATATTCCTCTCTCAGAAGTCAAGACTTGTTAAGGGCAAGTGAAGGCCAAAGCTTTGCATTACCATGGCACCACTGCTTCTCATCTGTTAGGGTCAGCAGTAAATCAGCCCTCTAGTGCAACAGTTTATGTAATGTGGTACCTAGAAGGGTCTGCAAGTGAACATCTTAGCGGCCCTTCTTGAATTGTTTCCCTGACAAATTTGGACCCTGTTTTGTTTGTTGGTATTGATTGTTGTATTTGGGGCAGGGGCATTTTGTTGTTGTAATTTGGTTTTTGGATTTTTATTTTGTCTTGTTTTCTAGCAAAGAAGTAAACGAGGAGGTTGGTCCAAAGGAAGGAAGAGGAAGAAACCTCTGCGAGACAGCAATGCACCCAAATCCCCCCTTACAGGATATGTTCGATTCATGAATGAGCGTCGAGAACAGCTTCGAGCTAAAAGACCAGAAGTCCCGTTTCCAGAAATCACCAGGATGTTGGGCAATGAATGGAGTAAACTGCCTCCTGAGGAAAAGCAGGTAACTGTTCCTATTATTGATCCTTTGCTTGATTTTGGTATCTCAAAACAACTTTTATCAGAAAAACAAAGAGGATAGGGCCTGATAGCCTAGAGGTTAAAGGTTAAGTGTCAGTGCTAGCACCTCGATGGCCTGAGTTCGATCTCCAGCCAAGAATCTGACCCACATGGTGCAGCAGACCTCTCCTGTCTCGTCCACTGCTCCCCACTCTCTCTGGTGAATCCTCTCACCCCCCGCACCACTGGCTTACATCCCAGTTCTATGCATATATAATAAATCTTTAAAAAGAGAGAGAGAGAGAAACAAAGAGGATAATGGTTGATTTTTCAATTTTGTCACATGCTTAGGAGGTCAGAATGTCAGGGTCCCCATGGCTCCTTTCTGTAGCTCAGTGGTTTTTACACTCCTTCACAGTCCACGGCAAGGGTGTGAGCAGGAGCAGCTCCACTTTTCTGTGCTGAGAGTCCAAAATTTTTAAAGTAGTCAAATATTAAGAAATTTATCAGCGTAATTTATTCTACCAAGCTAAATGGAAAAGTCTTGAATTAAATGAGAAAAGGTCATTTGATAAAATTCTGCTACATAAGATTTACATTTAAGAAAAAGATTTTGCTGCTTTAGTAATTTTTTTTTCGTAACTAGAATTCTGGCAAATTTGACCTACTATAGAAAATAAAGTAAGAACTACTTGAATGCATTCTTCTCTAAGACAAAAACTAACCCTCCTGCAAAACTGAAACCTATACAACCTATACAATTTGTTGGAGAAATTTGAGAGGAAATCAGGACAAGATAGCCATGAACTGGTTGAAATGCAGCAAAAGCAGAGTGGTAGTAATGATTGTGGGAGTGTCTTTCAGTTAAAAATTTCTGGCATTTTCAACATCAGGATGATAGCTATATTTCTTTTATGTCTTTTACTCAATTATGACGTACACTCTTTTTTTGTTAACTTTGTGATTATTATTTTAGAGGTGGAAAGAAGTCGTTTGTCTTCCTTCTCTTTCTACAGAAGTACGGGGTAGTAAATGTTGGATGAAATAATAAATACAACTTTTGTCACTCTTATGGTTAAGAAAAAATTAATATATCCTCTTTAAAAAGGATTCCACACAGATTAAAACCAACTTGAAAAATACTCTCAGGAATTAACTGAATTCAAAAAAGTTCAAACAAATGAGATTAAGTTGCAACGTGAAGTTCTGTGTACTGTGCTAACAAGCGGTGGAAGGCAGTGTGTATTGCCCATTATTTTAGTTTTAATGTATAAAGGAATTGTGAGGTGTACAGGCTATGTGACTCTTATTTTTCAAATGTAATACTTGCTCATTGCTTAAAGTTTTTTCAGACAATACAGAAATGAGTAGAGAAAAAAATAAAAGTAATTATCTCTAGGGATAGTCCTGTTAGGTAGTACAAAGGTTTTTGTTTTTTGAACCTTTTATTTGAAAATAATTTCAAATGTACAAAAGTTGCAAACAGAATACTATAAAGGACACCCAAATAGAAATACCCTGCTCACTGTTAACACCTTTTATTCCTTTTTCCACGTGGATATGCACTCAGACTCTCCAGTGCTTGCTCATTGATTCCTGTGGATAAGCCTAGATTCTCGCTCATCTTGCCCTCTCCTCTTACACACACACACACAGTATGTGCTTTTCTGAATCATCTGGGAGCAAATTACAAATATCATGGCCCTTTACCCATAAATATGTCAGTATGTATTTCCCAAGGATAAACACAAGTTTTCTTATATAACCACAGTATAGTTATCAATTCATAATTTTAAATTAACGCAATATATTGCTCTAACCTATCTCTAACCTATCATCCATATTCTAGTTTTGTCAGTTGACCAAGCATCATTCCTCTATAACATTTTTCCCCAGTCTGGGGTCAGGTTTTGAAATTGGTATTTAATTCTCTAGATTCATTTAATTGGGCTATTTCCACAGTCTTTGTCTTTATTACACTGATGTTTTTTAACAATGTAACGAACTCCCCCCCCCCTTTGTTTACCGTTATCAGAACATTCCTCACTTTGTATTTGTCTGATGTTTCCTCTGATTAGATTGAGGTTATGCATTCTTGGTCAGAATGCGGCCTAAATGGTAATGTCCTTCTCTGGCCGTAGCATATGCAGGCACAAAATGTCCTTTTATTCCTCACCAATAGTGTTAATTTTGTTCACCCAGCAAAGTTGTCTATGGAGAGACATTTTAAGAACATGCAAATAGCATGTTCTAAATTTCCCCCTGGATTTAGCATTGGTTGGTGACTTTTGCCTGATCTAATCCCTACCATGATCGTTGCAAAACAATAATTTTTTAGTTCCAACACTCCTTCCACATTCACCAGTCAGCCTTCCGCATTCCTCTTCCTTCCCCTCCCCATTTATGTGTGTTTCTTACCTATTAATAAGTGGTGTGCGTGTATAGTTTCCTTTTTTTTCTCTAATGGTCATTCACCCGTTGGATGTTCCCTACATTTGGCTCTTGTAGGAGACAAGGTTTTTACCATGATGTCTATCTCCAGTTTATGTTCACATAGTATTTTTATATTTTGTATATCTAATTGACGAATGAAAAGGACAAGGCATTAAACAAAATTATCCTGGTAGATCAATGAACTTTGTTTAAATAATTAATAGCTCAAAGCATGTAGATATAGTTCTCTCGAAGTGGTCCATTTTAGGTCCATTGGATGAGGTCATTCTTTTTTATGTTCTTTGCGTTTCTGGGCTTTAGTTTCCCACTCTTCTGGCTTTTAAAAGGCCAGTTGATGTATGAGATCATGCCCTCAGAATGGTTTAGGGATGGAGAAACAAAGCAATATTCCATCCCTTCCCCTGGGAAGATTAAGTGTGCGTATATGGTATTTAACCCTCCTGAGAATGCTAGTAGCCATGTGGAGCTCTGTTTGTAGGTTTAGAGAAATAACTATAATTGTCTTTATGAATTTTTAAGAGAATGTTCTCATTAGGACGTGTCTTCATTAAATTAGAAAAGGCAGTAAATAGCCTAAAAAGTCATAATCACCTGTTTCATAAGAGGGATTATATTATTGTATTCATATAACTTGTTATTTTTTTCTCCCATAAAGCTTATTCCCTGTATACATTATTTTTCATATTCTAATTGTCCTGTTTTCTTCAAATAGGTAATTGATATTTTACCTAAATAACATCTCTTTCTTGAAAGTAATTCCACATTTCTTTCCTAGCGCTACCTTGATGAAGCAGACAGAGATAAGGAGCGTTACATGAAAGAACTGGAGCAGTATCAGAAGACTGAGGCCTACAAGGTCTTCAGCAGGAAAACCCAGGACCGTCAGAAAGGCAAATCTCATAGGCAAGGTATCAGAAACAGACCAAGCTGGACTAGTAGTTTGCTGTGCTTGGAGTGTCACAAAATCTCCTCTTAGAGTGCTAAATATCATAGCAAGGCTTCTCTCATTTCTCTGTCCCCTACATTTACTTACAAGCATTATCTTAGAATTTTACTACAAACACATTGCTCTCAGAAATTTCCATTGGGTTTCCATATCCAGCATCAACAATTTGGCCTGTGCTCCAAGATCCCTTGTAGATAGCTGTGTTTTGTTTTGTTTTGTTTTTTCCTAATTCCCAATGTAGATAGAGTTCTCTGCCCCTAAACAAGTCTGTCTGCTAAACTATGTAACTATCTTGCTTTAACACCTCTAAGCCTTTCATGTGCCATTTCTCTTTGCCTCCAGTGATCATCCTTTTTATGTATCCATGCATGCATGCATGCATTCAAAATATATGAAGCAAGCACCTCCTGTTACCTGTCAGGCTTTTATCTAGGCATTATGGATACCACAGTGAATGAACAAGATAGACAAGATCCCACTCCTCGTGGAGCTTTTGTTCCCCATTAAAATTATTTATCAGTGCTGCAAGTTCCCCTTCTTCAGGAAACACTGCCAAAGAAGCCCCACCCATAACCAGTCAGTCATTCCTTAGCCATTGCATCTTCTCCACACTTGGGCATTTGCCTTGTTAAACTCTCTTGCTGTGCAAGGAGCCTTGGTGTGTGTTTCCCATCCGGTACCCAACCCTGTTCTCCCCAAGGTAAGAACTGTCCTGCTGTTTCTCTGGTGTCTAATTTTACAGCCTGTGAGTATGGGGCTCCCTTTAACTTTTGTTGATTGAATGATTAAAAAAGCATGAATGGCTTCTTGGCTTTTGGCTAAGAGCAAGTGATAAATAAAGCATGAGAGAAAATAGATGTGAGAATCTACCTATTCCAGCGGTTTTCATAGCTTGACATAGTCATATGCTTGGGTTTTATTGTTGTTTTGTTTTTCAACTTCATGTTCTCTTATTCTTTCATATTTCAGATGCAGCCCGACAGGCCACTCATGACCATGAGGTAAATTAGTTTTTAATCTATATGTAATATCGATTTACAATACTGTGGTTTGATTTTTTGATTGTTTGAAATGCTGGGGTTTTTTTAATGGATAGCAGATTATTTCAAATACCAAATTTAGATTGACTTGCTTTAGCTCAAGGATTCTTTGCATGTAGTCATTAATCTGTCCTTGAATTACAACCCTTGCTCCAGTCATTTCTTGTGATCCAAGACAGACAGAATGGGAAGTATAGAAATGAGGACCAAACGAAAACTGTAATTTGTAGTTTATCATCATCAAATATCTTTTTTTTTTATTTATTTATTTATTTATAGAAGAACCAGGGTACAGGCCAGATGTGTGGGAGGGTGAGAAGATTCACCAGAGACAGAGTGGGGAACAGAACAGGCTGACTGACGAAATACATTGCTGAGGGGAGTAGTGGGCACGACAGGTCTGCCTTGCCATATGGGACCCTCGCTACCCAGCAGGGATTGAACCGGCGCTGCAGAGGCTGTGGATAGCTTCACAGCACGGTGCTCAACCGCCTGCACCACCAGGGGAGGCCCTTCATCAAATATCTTATTTGACTCTCAAAAAATTATTTAGGGTTCCAGAATGTGGTTAATGAACGATTCAACTACAGTGTGGACAAAGCACAAATAATAATATCTTGTTCCCTGTGCCTCCTTTCCTCATTGATACATTTGTTTACTGGCCTTTTTCCCTCTATTTGGTTTAACCTCATTTCCAATATTTAGGCTAGAGAGAGAGAAAGTAGAGAGGAGAGAGAGAGCACCAGGCTATGGGTAATGTATGGTTGTGAAAAAATAAAATTTGTATTATTTCCTGCTTTAAAATGCTCAGACTCATCATTGCTTACCAGATCACATTCAAATTCAACAATCAAGTGTCTTCTGTAATGAAGTCCCATCTTAGCTTATATATTAAAAGCCTTTACTATTCGCTGTCATCTGGGAACCCCATCTTTCATGCCGGTGCCCATATTCTTTCTTTCACAAGAATACTTTTTCTCCCTCGCTCATTTTTCCACCTCCCCATCATCCCATCCCATTCAAAAATCCTACTCATCCTTCAAATCCTATTGCAAGTTTTATTTTCTCCCTCAATCTTTTCCTGTTTCTTCCAACCCCTTTAACCCTCATAGCTTACTGTATTTCTCTTTGTTGATCTGACCTGGTATCGGGGGTTTTCTAGTGCTTCTATTATTCGTACTCATGTATTATTATCTCTTTTAAGACACACAATCTAGTTTTCACCTTGAACTAGTGCTAGCACGGGTACCACCTAACATGCTGCCCTTGCCTGGAGGAGGTTTTCCATAAATACTTTTACACAAACTCCACTTGCTGAAATGACAGTGGGACTTTTCATTGAAAGAGTTATTTTTGATGTACTGTTTTGCATGTATTTAGTTGTTTATTAAATCAAGGGAATCATTTCTTCAAAACAATCACTTATCTTGGTGCTATAGTTCTCATACTTAATTTGGTATTGGTGACCATCAAAACATCAAGAAAAGATTTTGACTCTCAGGGCCTCCCTGGTGGCACAGGGGTTAAAGTCTCAGCGCTATCAAGCTATGGTCAGCCACTGTGGCATGAGTTTGATCTCTGGCTGGGGAGCTAACCCACATGGCACAGCAGACCTCTCCTGTCTCACCCGCTGCTCCCCTCAGCACTGTATTTCAGTAGATATACCTGTTCTGTTCCCCACACTGTCTCTGGTGAATCCTCTCACCCCCTGCACCTCTGGCCTACACCACTTCTTATATGCATAAACAAATAAGAATAACTCCTTTTTCAAAAAAAAAGATTTAGACTCTCAGGTCAAATAGATTTATTATCATCCATGAATCATTAAGTGAGGTAGATAGTAAATATTAAAATTTTATTCTTCATATAAATTCTATGTAAGTGTTTATATGACATTTCTGTACTCTAATTTAAATGAATATCTTTTGCTTGAGAAACCACATTCTTTATAAATTGTAATTGAACTGTATTGCAAAGTTTCCATTTTGCTATATACTTGTAAAATTACATATTTCTCCATTTTGTCTATGTGCCCACCCACCACTATCATGAAATTTCCATACTTCTCTTTCCCTATTAAGCATCCTTTATAACTTCTCTGTTCTTTATGGTTGCAAAAGAAAATTTGGACAGTAACCTAAAATATTAGATTGCACACTTTCATCTCAATTTAACTGACTCACTTCGTCACTATAAGATTTCGCTGGCCAAAACGTAGGTGACATTTTTATCTTCAGCAAAGTCAATAGCCGTAGTCAGAAAAGATTTAGCAGATTTAGTCATTCATAAAAACTGCTGCTGATTTGAGAAATGAAGTATTTTCTTAAAATACATTATTTAGTATAATGTAAGTTTGTTATTTGTGAAAAGAAATATGTCTCTTTGATTTCCATCTCAGCATTGGAAGCATGTTACATAACCCCCAGAAGGGAAGGAATAGGTGGAGGCAGCAGTCGTTTCTCAAATATACATACAGTTGGCTCTATAAATCTGCCTACAGGCATGGCCACATAAGAATGAAGCTCTCTAATGTTAAGATTACTGACTTGATTAATGTCCCTCAATGTATCAGTTTTTATCTTTCATTGAATAATATCTTTCCTAAACCAGGTAATTTCAAAACAATTGTAGTCAAAAATAACTGGCTTGACAGTTTTTTAAACGTAGTTACACAGGGATTTCCTTACATATAACTTCTTAGTATAATAGGAGTTAATCAAAATAAGAAAGTTCTATGGGTGAAAAGCAGCCACAGAAACCCGAGGGAACGGAGGCGATGAATTAAACCTGAAGGATGACCCAGGATTTGTTGGGGCACCTCAGAGCAGGTGACTAGTTAGCGGCAGAAGTGTGGCCAAAGCCCAGCCTCTGCAGCCCAGGTGAGCATGGCTGCACCTGCCCCGCTGGAGGAAATAAACAGTGTTGAGAGTTAAAATGGGCCTGATTTCCTGATAGCGGCACAAGTTGTTGCCAGTTAAGACAGAAATGATTTCGTTTGCATATAGTAAAGAACCCGTTTGTATTCTTAAATGGAAATTAGATGTCTGAGAAAGCAAGGCCAACGCCGTTACGTGTGGCAGCAGGGCCCTGTAGCCTGGTGCACCGTATCACCGTATTCCCTGAAGTTGAGGCCTGAAGCCTAGATCACAGCAAAACAAGTTCAGCTCAAAAGTGCCTCTGTTTGCTTGGCCTCTACTCAATATATAGAATGAAAAATCAAAGTGAAGAGTATTCTTGCTCCTCTCACACCAAAGGCCAGCCCACTAGACCCAAGAGTCAGCTAGTGTTACTTTCAAGAAAGTGTCCACATTTCATATGAGGACTAAGATAGAAACAATAATTTTGTTTCTCCTTTAATTTATGAGAAATGACAAAATGACACTCAGTCTGAACAAATTAGACCCTTTCAATGAAGAGGTAATGAAATCCTTATGATTTTAATCCCTTGAGCCATCCTTAGAGCTGCTTAAGTATATCCGAGCCCCCAGGAGGATCCTCTTCATGCCTCGTAATGTACTCAGTAATGGAGGAGAGCTGATGGTTTTGATTACCACTCTTCCGTTAAGTAGAATTTCTCTGTTGCTTTTCAGAGACTGAACAGTTTCGCTTAATTGCTTTGGTGTTTCTTATTTTGCACTCCAAAGTCTGTACCAAGGGGCGGGCAGCGTGTTACTCATTACGGGGTGCTCTCCTGTGCCCTAACGTAGTTAGCTTGCTCTGAATTGATCCTATGAAGAGGAGATCAAGTCCTTGGAGAGGGCTCTTGGTACCATGGTGATGGGAGCCAAACATCCTCACCTACCCACCTGATGGGCAGGCATTTAGACTTGTGGCTAGCTAACTGATGCAATACGAGGAGGGCTGAGCAAGGGTAAGGCGAGCAAGTTGTAAGACTTGATACTCGTGGTCAGTGGATTTTTGTTTGTGCCTTGAATGTGCTGGGGTTGTGTGTCATAGGGTTTCTGTCCTGCAGCAGCCTAGTAACGGGGTAAAAGCTCGTGATGAGCCAGTAGAGAGAAAGCCACTTCCAAGATTTCTAAGATCCCTTCCAGAACCAGATTTGTTTGTTTATACATCATTTCTCTTTGAAATCCACAAAGAACTGGTTCGAGGTAGAACTTTGAATGTTAGAACTGGGGTTTTCAGTGATAATTTTGTTTAATTTTAACAACTTAATTTTAAGTTGTTCTGGGAAACTTTACTTTCAGAGATTAAAGATGGGGTAAAAATTCAGTGTTCTGAGAGTTTCCACGGGTTAATACATAGTTTTTCAGACTTCCGTCTTAGATGTCTCCCTCAATCAGCTGCCATTAGCAGGCAGTTCACACAGCCTCCCCTTACAAGGCATACACTGATAAGAAAACAGGAGCTTGGCCATCAGAAGTTCCTCATTTATTGTTCATTGCTTAGCACCGGACCGTCTGGGCACCGGACCGTCACGTCGTAGTGTTCAAAGATAAAAGACACCACTGGTGCAAGAGTAGGAAAGATCCATTCTGTCACCTTAACGTGTTTGTATAAAAATGGTTTCTAGATTTGCTTTTAACTGTTCTTTATGTTACAAAAGTTTTGGAACCTTCACGTTTCACTAGCATTTTCCTCAATACTCATTTCTAACTGTTCTCTTTACCATCTTGCATTATGCAAAATTTTAAACACTGTGCCAAGATGTTTATAGTTTATATTCATAACGGTTTCAACTCCAAATTCATTGTAAAAATTGCAGCCAAAGCATCTTGAAATATTGACTTTATTCATAAGGATCATTGTGAAATATATTTTGCAGTGGCTTTGTAAGACTTTTAATGACTTGTTGGTGAATGAATTTTAGGTTTTGTTGTTCTTTTCTGTTTCACGTAGCCTTGACTTTTTCTTTTTTGGAACCAAGTTATTTCTGACTTCTTAGATTTTTTTCTTTGTTCCCGTGTCTGAAGAAAATCTGAAAGATTCCCAATTAGGTTGTCCCTTGTAGAAATAGAAATAGGAATATAAGTGGTGTGCCATTATTACTCTCATGGCTGGTGGCTCTCTGCTTAAAATTATTACTGATCACTATGCACATTTAGACTGCATAGTTCTATCTCAGAAAGCATTGTGTATGCATAAGCAATAGAAGCAACTGAAGAAGCACACCCAGGGGCCTCCCTGATGGCCTAGTGTCTAAGTCTTAGCTCTGTCACCGTGTTGGCCTGAATTTCATCCCCAGCCAAGGAACTAACCCATAAATGACAGAGCAGGCCTTTCCTATCTCTCCCGCTGCCCCCCTTAGCAATATATTGCAGTGGATCTATCTGTTCTGCTCCCCTCTCTGTCTCTGGTGAATCCTCTCACCCCCTACACTTCTGGCCTACAGCACCTCAGTTCTATATAAAAGAAAAAAACACCTAGAAGGTTCCTTTCTCTGTTTCTACCTCACCACTTTCACAACTGTGTTCTCTTGATTTCAAAGCACAGAACTAAGCAGTGGCTTCCAAATTCTCCAATAGGGAAATTTACAGAGGTTTGTTTCAAGGTTTCTCATTGCACAGCAATGGTACACCTTAGAGATCTGAATGCTTAACCCACTTGAGCTCCATAAAGATTGAGTTCCAGTGAAAAGGTACTTTCCCTCCTGGCACATGCACTCATTCCTGCTCACCCTGCTATTTACCTGCAGAGGATGTGACCATTGTGCCTTCAGGCACTGCTATTTAATTATTAAGATTTAACTGTTTTGTTACTTTCGATTTACAGAAAGAAGCAGAGGTAAAGGAACGGTCTGTTTTTGACATCCCTATATTTACAGAGGAATTCCTGAACCACAGCAAAGGTGATTACCAGAGTGTCATTTTCTGTTCCTCAGATCTGTGAAAGGAGATGTAAATGTCAGAAGGAAGTGATTGTTCAAAAGCAGTATTAGTGCTATTCCAGACCATAGGACTGGTCTAGAAGAAGAAAACTGTTTCTGTTTTGCTCTCTAATAAAGGTAACTACTCAAAAGATCAGTGAAAAAAGCTGTCCGTTTTGTCAAAGCTGCTTTAGTCTCCAGATCCAAGAAAATAAATTATCTCACTAATTCACTTGTGTTCAGATGCTTAGCCCTGAACCCTTTGTACAAATGGACGCTTAGGTGCACATCCAGGATCTAAGAAAGAGCAAAGTTGACCCTACTGCAGTAAGGAAGAGGACCCACAACTGTTCTTGCCTGGTCTCCTAGGGTCCCCCTGATAAGTCTAAGAACAAAACAAACAAAATTTTTGGAATTGCAGCTGTTCCTGGCAATCTTAAGAATATAGAATATGACCATCTTTAAGCCTTAAAATAGCCCTAGGGAGCAGGCGCTTCATTGCTGAAGGCAATATTGAAATAAGGTGGGGTAGCTAATTAGAGACAGCTAAGGAGAACTTCGATTGAGAGTCATTAGACTCCCCGGAGACTGCTGGTGCTGTATGTGTTCTGTGTGGGGTGTGCTCCTCAGCTCGGGAGGCAGAGCTCCGCCAGCTTCGGAAATCCAACATGGAGTTCGAGGAGCGGAACGCAGCCCTGCAGAAGCACGTGGAGAGCATGCGCACGGCCGTGGAGAAGCTGGAGGTAGACGTGATCCAAGAGCGGAGCCGCAACACCGTCTTACAGCAGCACCTGGAGACCCTGCGGCAGGTGTTGACCAGCAGCTTCGCCAGCATGCCTTTGCCTGGTAATGCCATCCCCCGCTGAGCGCGTGGATGGGGAGCCCAGGGAAGGGGCAGTTTATGTGGGCATCATGTGGTGAAGCCAGGTCTCCTTCATGAGGAAAATCCATGAAATAAGTTTATATTTTTCCCTCAGAGTTGTCTGTAGCTCATGTAATCTCAGTATTGGCTAAAATCATTCAGAATTTCAGGGTGTCTGGTCATGTAAATTTTTCTTCAGTTATATTTTAATATAATTGGTTTCCTTTCTATTCACTTTAATTTGATATTCAGAACAATAGAAGCTGAGTAATAATCCTGAATAGCACTTATGTATTTTTTGCTTGCTTTGAGATGTTCTAATGGGATAAAAGAGGAAATAAGTATTAGTATTTCTATATACAGTTTCATGTTGACTCTGCACAAAGCTGGCAGAGTCTCTGACTTTTTGTTTTATGTAGCTGCTGTACAGCAACGCTATAGCCTATCTGTTTATTTAGAATGTGCAGACTCATTTCATTTCCTTGAGGTTTACAAGTATCTCCTGAAATTAAAATCTTGTTTGTGCAGAACAAGTAGAATCACGATTTCTTTTGGTGTGGATTCACTTAACTGTGTTAGGACAGAACTGAGTAAGGAGGAGTTTCTTACTCTTTCCTCTTATTTCACTTCAGGAAGTGGAGAGACCCCTACAGTGGACACCATTGACTCATATATGAACAGACTGCACAGTATTATTTTAGCTAATCCCCAAGACAATGAAAACTTCATAGCTACAGTTCGAGAAGTTGTGAACAGACTTGATCGTTAGGGAATGGTGAGTGTTCACTGATGTGGTACTTCTGTGCCAACACATCATCAGAGATAAGATGGTATTTGACTGTTCATACTACTCAAACCCTGAAATTACATGGAATAAATGAGCTGCAGACTCGATTCAGATTCCTTTTGCATGGTTGCTGAGTGTAGTAAATCATGTGAGAAAACAGAATCAGGATAGTTTTTTTCCATGCATGCCTCAGCATGGGTTGATGGACAGAAAGAGCATCGTTGTGGTGGTTGGTCCTGGCTGCTAGCTCTGTCACTCTCCTGTTAGTTGTATTCTCAAGTGTTTCCCAAATGGCCTTTGAGGAACAGGTGAGAAATTTCAAGGAAATCAGCCCCAACATGGCAATTAAAGTATCACTTCACTGTTAATCTTCCATTTCTCTAGAAAATGTTAATGATAATTTATAATAATAGTCAGCAAGACGTTGTAAGTCAGCAAGTAAGTCTGCGTAAGTCAGGAGCCTTACCCCCACCACTCAACAGTAACTGTTGTATGCTGAATGTTAATGTGGACTAACCTTACAGGGACACACTTAATGCCCTGATGGAACAAATTAAAAAATAAACTCTCAAGACATAATAAAGGAGAGAAAAAAATAGGCTTTTAAAAAATATATTCAACAAATGACTTGTTGTTACATCCTTTCAGAAGGAAAAAAGGCACATTTCCAGAGGGATGTGATCATATAAATTTTTTGGTACTAGTGGTCAGTCATCAGTGTCATTCCTTAAATGGAATCGGCATTTGTTCACTCAAATTCCTAGAGCTAGGGTGTCCTTTAGTGTGCCGTCCCACGGAATTGATAGCCCTTTGGTCTATAGATTAAATTACATCCTCCCTGCAAATACACTGACTGTGGAAAGCTTAGTGTGGGCCCTGTGGAAAGTAGACCCCTGGTGGGTGCTAAACCAAGAGTAGGTAGCAGGATCTGCTCCTTAGAATGGCAGGTTTGAGTCTTTATCTGTGTGTCCTGCAGGAACATGAAGACGCTCATCACACATTCATGTTCTCATATGGTTTGGATCTTGAGTAACGTAACATGTAAATAAAAAGCATGCTTCTTTATCTAATGAGGCATCTGCTAGCCGAGACAGAAGCAGTCGTCTTTATCCTTCTTGGTCATGCCCTGGGATGGTAACTGTACAAGGCAATTCATTATACTTTAGCCTCAGCCGTGCTCAGATGGGGAGAGGATTATCATCCTTCTAGTGAGTGACCAGATGGAACGGACTGTGCTTCTAAGAGATGGCTGGACTCCCTGCAGAATAAAGAAGTGGCATTATTGCTGCTGCTTATGAAGGGAACAGCTTGTAAATCTAGGCCTGGGGTTTTCAGGAGCTCACCAGCCTTCTCATTTTCACACGGTGTTTTCAATTAGCGCTCTTGGAGGCTTGAAAAGAGAGAGCTGGGAGAAATAGTGTGGAAGATCGTGAAAGAACATAGTAATTGATAACATGGTGTTTCCTCACATAGGTATAGGGCAGTTATTGCACATTTTGAGCCAAAAGTGGTTTCCATTTTGAGCATTTTGTCAGTAAGGCAGAAGAGCTTTACCCGTCTTAAGGCTAAGAGCGATACTGTCTGCTTTCTGGGGTGCCTTTCAAAACCTACACTGTTATAGTCCTGATTTTAAACCTATAAGTGTTTTGCCCTTGAAAAAATAATACCTGAAAATGTGAACCATTTTATTATTATTGATTCTTACACTCTAGCTGTGCAAACACAACTAAGAATGGATAGTTCCCCACACCCCCCAAAACTGTTAAATGAAGCAGTTAGAAAAACTATGATTAATACTAGCTTGGCCTCATTATACAAATATGTACAAATAGCTAGGCCTGATATCCCAGGATTTATGGTGCAATTAATTACTTTGACATGAGCTTGGCATAGCTTTCATCCACTGTCAGGACCCAGTGAGTGAAGGCAAGCTAATGGTCTTCAGGTTTTAGAGGAGCACATTAGAGCTGGCAGGGACCTGTGGAAATCCCAACATTTTACATGTGAAGAAACTGAGTCCCAAAAGGTTGAAATGTCTTCCCTGAAAAATGCCTGACTAGATGAGTACAAACTCCAGGACGAGGAGAAATATATCTAAACTCTGGTTCAGTGGGGTCTCTAAAACATTGCTCTAAAGAAATGGGGGTTGGGGGGTAAGTGTAAGAGAAAAACACTAAAACTCTTTGGCATGAGACCATTCAGATACATAGGGAGTAGATGGGAAAGAATTACAATCCAGTGGTTATAATGGTATAAAATTTTGATCAACTCATTAAAAATTATATTTTTGTCATTTTTATAAAATTAAACTTGGAGAGACAGATAGTGTGAGAATTACCCCAGCTTGTCACTTTCTTTGTGGCTAACTAGTAACTCAAGGAAAATGAAGCTATAGACAGAAGCCGTAGGGGAGATTTCCTGTTGAGAGGTGAATGCTTTATATAAACTATCAAAATTCATATGCTGCTTCACTTCAGTTGGACCAGTTGATAGATGTCTGGCGGAGGATTGGGGGTTAAAAAAAAAACCCTTTCTTATGTGATTGCATTGGTATCATTGTGAGAAAATGTATTGTTTGTATGCACAAAGGGCATTCTTACACTTGAAGAGATCCTTACACTTACATTGGAAGACAATTGGTTTTGATTGACCACATATTCTTTGGACTCAAGTACAGTACTAATTTTCCATCATCAGATTTGTCCCTGGTGGTTGCCACACTGTTCAGCCGACGGATTTTCCTGCCGCTCCATTGTTGCTTAACTGGAGCAGGGCCATGTTTCCCATTGAAATGTTATCTCAGACATCTCAATGAGTTTGCCTGCGTGCAGCACTATGCTCTGTAGTTTACACACGCCCTGCGCCTCGCCTTAACTCCTCTGAAGATAGAACAAAGCATGTTTTTACCCAGAGCCCTAATTCTTTCAGATCAGCACTTACCTTTTTTGGCATCTTCTTCACCCCACTACTACCCCTTCCCCAATTCTACAGGTATAGAGCTCCAGGATGTTCTGTAAATGGTTTTACTTGTGAGGAATGAGAAGCCATCCATGGAAATCTGAACTGAGTGGAGGCAGAGTGGGCGTGCACATTACTCTGCTTGTGAAAGAACTGCCAGTTATGAGCTAAATGCCTTCACCCCAGGAAGCCATATGCGGGAGCAGCAGAAGGAACACATACATGAACTTCCTCTGGAATCGTTCTTGTGGACTTTGAAAGTGTACAGCCTCTCCCCTGGGTCTTCAGTTTCCTGTCTTCTCCATTTCTGTTGAAGTGGACCTGCATATATTCTGCTGACCAGGCAACCTGAGACTGACATGGCAGCAGTGAAGCTTCTCGTTGTTCCCATTCATAGAGGACCCTTTTGTCAGTAGCTCCAGTTTTCATACCTAGATGTCACTCTTTTTTATATGCCCTTGGGGGGGGGGGCATTCTTTATTCCCTCCCCACCCCCACCAAGTTATACCTCTCCATTGTCTGACCTGAGCTGCTGGCTCAGCAGGATTCTGAAGGAGAGCTGCTCTCATTGGACACACACAGTCTTCTCCCATCATTGCCCTGCTGTGACTCCAGAGAAAGGGACTCACTGTGGCAGTGTCCTGTGGAGGGGTGGGGGGAAGCCCTCCCTCATGGAGGCTTTGTGCTTGCTGCCCAGGAGCAGAATTCTCTCCTTCCACCTTGGTGCTGCCTGCTGTTTGCTCAGCATGGCTGCTGTCCATGCACTGTGTCGCAGCCCCAGGGAGGCGCCTCTGTTCCCATCTATTGGCAATATCTTGTGGAGCATTTTGTTGAGGAAAAGGTCATTAGTAAATGGGAGAGAACGGGAAAAGTAGTTTCTCATTTGATGTGGGAGGAAAGAAAAAACAAGTTTATCATAAGTGAAAACTGAGGGAGTCCCTGTCTGCTTTAAATACTCAATTCATGGCGATCGACAGGTAGAAATCTCATTCAAAATTGTCTCTTGAGCTCATAGAAAGGATTTCTCCTGTCTTTTATCTTCCTTCTGTGACCATAACCACAGAATTCATGTCAAAAGGACCGGGTTGCCTTCCTGCTCTCTTCTTAGGAAGTGATTTTTTCAAACACCAAAGGGATGAAGGGTTTCTGATTCTCACCTCAGGGTTCAGTTTGATTTGGTGTTGATGCTCTAGAGGACAAGGCTGCCAGTTACAGCTGAGATCTTTGGAACACAAGCAGGGCGTGCTGAGCCCATTGTCTAGGCACTGCGCCACTGAAGCAGGTGGCAGCACACCCCCTCACAATACGCTCCAAAGTCAGGGTGCAAGCCAGAAACCATGTCATGTGGCTGCACATCATGTCTTCTCAGCATCTCCTTACCTGATTTCTCAGCCCAGAGGAAATAAAACAGCAGCAAAACCACCTTTTGTAAATGTCTTACGTTGAACACCCATCAAATTTCCATACACTGAAGCCCACCTACAGCTGTCGGGCAGTGTTTCAAAGTTAAGAGCCCACATTATTGCTGTAAACCTACCCAACTCACCTGCTTTTCTGTCTTCCTGTTGTCCCCTGCTGTTCCTGTCACTTCCCTCAGAGGCCTCACCTGCTTAAGCCCAATCTAGAATGCGCTGTCTCTGGCAGAAGGACTTCCATATGCCAGTTCTGTAACTTCATGTCTGCCTCCTGCCAGATGCTTCCTCTCCTTCCTTCCTCCTAATATTTCTGTTTCTCCTTTGTGTTAGTTTTGTGTGACATTTTTAGTTCTCTTGACCAGGAAAGGCTGTAACTAGGTCCAAAGATCATCATTCTCCCGACTCAAGGTTGAACAACTAGCAGTGACATAAAACAAGCCTGTTCAGAAATGTGAGGGATCTCCAGAGAGCCCACATTCTGAGGACATTTTTCACCTAATAAGCAGCCTGCTTTTGAAGTGCTCTCCCAGCTACACACCTGAGTCACTGGTGCCTGGGATTCAGCTGCCACAAAACTGTCAGGTTCTGTTAAGGAAATCAGTGTCACCTCCTCTCTTCCCTGTGCCCAACTAGGAGGTGGTAAATGAGGTTATAGGCTAACACAATACCCAATTCATGTTTCCCAGTACACTTGTAGATATTACTGAACTTACATGCTCTTCTCAAGAAATAAGTTGTTGCCTATTCAGTGTTACAGGTTTCTTTCTTTTTATTAAAAAACAAGGAGCAGTTGAGGAAACTGAGACAAAGTGTTTTGTTTCTGACAAATTTTAGAAAAAAATGTGTACATGTGTTTGGAACTGTTGAAATGCCAAGTTTTCTGTACAAGTGTTTTTGTAATTAAACTTTTAGATTTTCTTTGTTTTTTTTTTAAGAAGTCGATATGCTTGCTTGACATTTGCCTCATTAAAACTTTTCTATGTTGAGTCCACCCGATTCACTTTTACCTGCATCGTAAGGAAAAAAAAAGTCCTACCTCTGCCTTTTCATGTTAAAGACTTTGTCAACTCTACATTAATCATCAAGTCTGTTATGCTTTTAAAACAGTAACACATTCATTTCACTAATTGCTTATTCAAAATGTGTCTTAGCCTGTTTGAGAATTCAGCTCTTTTAATGTATGCTATAACAATGCAATGAGTTGTAATTCATTTTAATGTAGCTGTAGTATTCTGGTGGCAACTTGAAAGAAGTCTGATGTTTTTAAAGCCGGTGACTTCAGTCCCCTTGATAATCTGACTGAAGATAGTCTTCTGTTTGACAGGATCTGAGTTCTCCTTAAATGATTGCGTATAAAAAATAACCATTACTTAACCAATCAAAATCATTTTTAAGGGGAATTTGTCACCTACGCCTTTAAAATCCGAGGGGTGAGGTGACCTGGCTTCCAAAACCTGCTGCTCTCCACGTTACCCCTGGTGCGGCATCACGAGAGACTTGGCTTGTTCCATCTCCAGCAACTCTTTGACATGACATACACGTTGGCTCTCTCACACTGTGTTGTTTGGACAGGCGGAATTAGGTAGCAGAATTGATCTTTGGAAATCTGAAATCTGTTACATAAATGCCAAGAATAACTTAGGTGACTCGGTTAGGATTGGCCCTGACTAAATTTAACAGACACCCAAATCAGCAAAAACTTCAAAAATGTCTCATAGAAAAACATTCCAAGGGTAGAGTGTGCCACAGCACAGTTCCTTTCTCAAGGTCACCTCATGGTCCAAAATAGCCATTTGACCGTCAGCTGTCATCTGGAATTCCTGGCAGCGTGAAAAAGAGAGCAAGAGAGAACAGGCTAAGGCAGCTGAGAGAGCACCCTTAGAGACTTCCTGGAAACCACACTCAGCACTTCCAGAAAGCCCGATCACATGACAAGGGAGGCAGAGAAATGTCATCTTTCCTTGGACATTACTGTCTCCAGTAACATACAGGGTTTAGTCAGAAAGAGAATGAGCATGGAGTACACAACTATCAGCTAATCTCATGACTCCAGTGACTCCACCCGTGCCCCGAAGCTGGCCCTGCCACAACAGTGAATGGGACACATCATCTTGCCTTTGCTGCTGGGTCATCTGAGATTGGCCATGTTCTTCCTTATCATCCTTCCCCTGCCTCCCCTCGCCCCCCCCCCCCCCCCCACCCGCAAAAGCAGCCAGAAAGTTGAAAACTGACTTCTGGGTTAGCATTTCCTGTTCCCACCTTAGCTCCTCCCCAACCCCTCAGCAGCTGGTGGCCAGTTTGGTTTGGTAGAATCAACATACATAAACAGGTGGTAATATTCCCTCCGGTTGTTTGTTCCTTTTCTCTAACTGCTCAGCATCTGCTGGATTTCCACAACCCCAGGATAATCTAAGGGTGGAGAAATGGAAGTATTTCTCCACAGAAAAGCACATAGCCACTTCCTGCCCTCTGAAAGAATTTCCTGCCTGGCAACTGAGAGTTCCAAGTCAAGGACTTTTGCTTTGTTATATTTATTTACCTTTTGACAGATAGTCTGCACTCAGAAGTAAACTTTACAATATCTATAGAAATAAACACTAGTTCATATGCCAATTCATAAAGAGATCAGGGTTGAGAGTGAAAAAGAGCAGATGAAAATGTTAATGTCCGTCCACTCATCCAAAACCATTTCAGTTTAGTTTTCATGGGAATGTATGTCTGCAGGGAAGAACTTTTGCCAGAGGTAAAAATGCAAGTTCTCTCACCCTAGAAAAATGCAAAAGGGAGAAGGAGGCAAGATTTATACCCAGATAGGAGTGGATTTGGGAGGTTAAGAGGCAGACCGATGCCAATTGTCCAGATGGAAGGATTTTTGTAAACCACCTACAACACTGGATTGAAAAGATGCCTTTAATGTCCAGGGAGGAATGTGAAAGACGCGGGGCTAGAGGTGGCTTCTTTTGAGTCTGAATTACCCTTACCTGACACTTAAGAGTCAGAGCTCTCTATAATCAGATCTTCTGTTCTCCATTTCCCTCCAATTCACTATTTGGGACTACAAAGATATTTATAAAACATGGTTTCCCCTTCAGGGGATGACAGTCTAGTTGGACAGAGAGACAAGTGCATAGATAGCTCAGCTATGCTGGGAACTGTAATTGAGGTAAGTAATTTTGGGAAAGTAAAAAAATTGCTGAAATCTACAAGAAATGGTTTTTCTGCAATCACGAAACAGTTTGCAATGGAGAATAGCTCTAAATTTAACAGACTTGGTGGATCAGCATTGTAACTAATAAGAACTTTGTCTGAAAGGTCAATGAAATACGAAAGTCTAGACCGGTAGCCATCAGAGTATTTCTAGTAGAGGTGAAGGGAGCTGGAAAAAAAAGTAAGTCATTGGATTAGTTGTAACTTAGGCAAGTTTCTCAAAGTTTTTGGAAGTTTTGACTCATTAGTAGGTCATTAAGTCAGTATGTTAGTTTAGAACATTTCTTTAAGATTAAATTGAAGAGAATCAAAATGCACTACATAGAGTAAGAGCAAGTATTATGTGGTGAAACTTGGGTTTCAAGTTCACACACTTACATATGGATGCTTGCTGGGGTACAATGTAGAAGAGATTGCTTACCCCTTCCCCTGGCAGTACAGTCAAGACAGTCGACGACTTTTTCGCTACCCCCGAAATTGGATGGCACTGGGTTCCATCCCAGCTGAGTTCTAGTTTGGTGTGGTTTTCTACATGTGTGACCTTAAGCACGGTGCTCAGACTACCCTGCTGCTCAGTTTTCTCATCTGTGATATTTGAATCATGGATATTAGATATTAGAATAGTTTCCATTGTGCAGAGATTTTATGTGCATTAGATTAGTTAACCATGTAAAACACTTAATAGTACCCACCACAGAATAGACCCGTATCAGCTAGTATAATTTGTGAAAGACTTCAGGGAAAGGCGAAATTAGATACATACTCCAGGCCAGGCACTCTGCTCTTTTTAATAAATTATGTCCTATCACAACCTCATAGCCTAGGGCTACTGTATCCATTTTACGATTCAGTGACTAAGGACTCGAAGATGATAAGCAGCTTGCAGTTATGCAACTGGGAGCGGGCAAAGAAAGCATTCTACCCAGATAGTCACTCCACTTTCCACCATGAGTATGTGCCACACTGTCTTCTGGAGATTTCCTGAGACATGAGTTCAAAGCAGCATCGAAGTAGGATCTGGAAACCAGAATGACATCTACTCATCCAGGGATACTTGTTGACTTTCTTGCGTTGGGAGCTTTCCTTGGTCCCTGTCCACCCGGAGCTTACAGCCTGCTATGGGCAGGGGCGGGGGACTGAAAACAGCTATCCTAGCAAACTCAGCTTTGTCGCCAAAACAAGATGAAATGATATAAACTAACCAGGGTAGAAGAAACACTTCTCCAAAAAAGTGACCTTTGAAGAAAGACTGCATCGAGTCAAAGGAGCCAGCCCAGGAAGGACTGAGTGGGGATAGAAAGGCCACAGTCCCAAGGCAACAATGAGCTCTGGGATTTCAAGGAAGAGAAAAAGCCAGTGAGCCTGGAGCAAAGCAAGTGAAAGGGGGAGTGGCTTTGAGGTTGCAAAGTAGGCAATAAGGACGTCCTGTGGCGCCTTGTCAGATGTGGTAGAATTTACATCATGCATAATGTGAAGAGAGTTCTACACAAGTAAGTGACTAGATCGGATTAATATTTTTCAATATCTACTCTCCTGAACATTGAGTAGTGGGGAAGCAAAAGAGGAACCAGAAAAACCCATTAAAAGTTCGGACAGGACAGCACCTTGGCCTAGACTGGTGGCAGTAGGGGCAGAAAAGAGAAGTGAATTCAGGATTTTTTAAAAAGATTTATTTATGCATACAAGAGCTGGGGTACAGGCCAGAGGTGTGGGGGTGGGTGGTGAGAGGATTCACCAGAGACAATGGGGAACAGAACAGGCAGACTGACTGAAATACACTGCTGAGGGGAGCAGCGGGCGAGACAGCAGAGGTCTGCCACACCATGTGGGTAGCTCCCTGGCCACTGGGGATTGAACTCATGCTGCAGAGGCTGCAGATTGCTTCATAGTGCTGTGCTTAACCCCTTGCGCCACCTGGGATGCCCAATTCATGATATGTTGCTAAGGGATTAGATGTGCAGAGTGAAAGAAAAAGAATCAAGGCTGGCTCCCAGATTTTTTTGATTTGCACAACTATGTAGTGGATGGAGTAGCCTGAGATAACATAGACTTGCTAAATTTGAGATTTCGCCAGCTGTTTAACCCCTGGGCAAGACACCTGTATCTCTCTGCTATTCCTTCCAGCTCTTAAATACTGTGGTTCCATGGGATCCTACATCAGGGCAATATATGCTAACACTCCTGCCATCCTCAGCACGTAAGCACACACACACATAGACCCAGTGACTCAAGCTGTTCACTGAACTATGAAATTAAGGAATGGTCTCCTTTTTAATCATTCAAGCTCCTTAGGAAAAGAATTTTTTAAAACCTGAACCTGCATTTGGTTAAGATTGGCATAAAGCAGCCAAGTCTTGGAGGATATAAAAATTATACCAGTACCTGATGGTTAGAAAATCTTGGTCAAATAATAGAAAGCATCTGCTTGAAGGAGACTGGCCAAAAACATATTTTGCATCATTCAATGACGGGAAATGTGAGAAGACATCACTGATGCAGCCAAGAGGTTTCTGGACTCAGCAAGTGGGCTCCTGCTCTGCTGCTTCTGCTCTCTCCAAGGAGAGAAACGAAAGGCAGCTGGGCCCAGGCACTGGCGTGTAAGATGAACCTTGTATTTTCCTGGGGGCTGATGGATTTTTTTTAAGTGGACATATATTTATCAAAAGAAGTTCTTTTTTAATTAAGGACAAGCTAAATGTGGTCATTATGGATTTTACTCATTCCTCAGAAGAATGAATATTTTCAAATCTGTGCATTCATTCAGACGTTGTCCAAATACTCTGTGTTTTGGGTATAAAGTAAAGGATGTCCCTCTCCTCAAGAAGCAGTATCACAAAGACTAGACACAAAAGCTAACTACAATAGGAGCCAAAACATTATCCAACACCTGGAAGCAAAGTATTCTAGAAAATACCAAGGAAGGATTCAGTGGTTGTTCTTGGGGAGGTCAAGAGAGCTGTCCAGGATAACATTTCTTTTCGACCTCAGGATAGTTCTTTTATGAGAAGCTGGAAATAAACCTGGTGCTAGAAGCACATTCCTGATGTACTCAAGTAATTCAGCATGACCGGAACACAGGTTGTATCCCAGGTACTAATAAAAAAATAGAGATGTTTTGAAAATGGATTATAAATGGGCCTTGAATAGCT